CTTTTGAATCCTTTTAAGGGTTAGAGCATGACACTTATTTGCTACCATTGACTACAAAAATTCAAAAAGCCAAGCCCTTCCAAAAAAAAAGTTTGTATATCTTCCTTTCAACTTTTATAGCTATTTCTGCTCAGATCCACACATATATTATGTATAGAATACATACATACATATATATTCTGTAATACTTTGCATGCAAGTTTTGACAACTGCATAAGTTTCTTCTTTATTGTGTGGCCTATCTCATGATTCTTGTTTTGTTACCTGATGTTATTATAAACTGAGTAGAATGTCCAATGTACAAAGACAAAACCACTAACAAATTAACTATTTTATCAACAATGATCAAAAATACTAAGTAGAGGAAGAGAGTATGTATATTTTTGTAACAAAACATCTCAGTGCTCTTTAATGTACTTGGTTAATTGTCAAAAGATGAAGAATTGTCATAAATTATCATTTCTCAACGGTGCTACTTAAACTATTTGTCTTCAAGTTGAAGCCAGGCTCTTGCCTTGGGATAAGGCTGTTTGGCTAGTTCGAGGACAACTAACATTTTTAGCGGGTTTAAAACTACAAGGAACCGAAAAGTGCTTGTTGTATAATATTCTTAACAATTGTAAAACACACAAAGATAAGACATAATTAAAAACACAAATTCCTGTTTTCAAGTTCCTCTAACATTCTTTTTAGGAAGGGCTTTCATTTTTCTGGTTGAGATGTTCTCAATAGATACTGACACGTACCGACCTCGATTGCTACAGTTTGCCCAATTGATATTGCCTATTATTCCATGTCATAGAGTTGTAGAGTCATGGAGCACAGACACGGACCCTTCAATCCAACCACTCCAAGCCGACCATAATCCCAAACTAAACTAGTCCCTCCTTTTTTGCGCTTGGCCCATATCCCTCCAAACATTTCTTATTCAAATGTCTCTTAAACTTGTAACTGCATCTGCATCCACCACTTCCTCTGGAAGTTCATTCCACGCACGAACCACTTTCTGTGTAAAAGAGTTGCCTCTCATGTCTTGTTTAAATCGTTCTCCTCTCACCTTAAAAATATGCCCCCTGGTTTTGAAATCCCCCACTCTAGGGAAAAGACACCTAGCGTTCACCTTATCTATACCCCTCTTGATTTTATAAACCTCTAAAGTCAACCCTCAATCTTCTATGCTCCAGTGAAAACGGCCCCAGCCGATGCAGCCTTTCCCTAAAAGTCAAACACTCAATTCTCAGCAACATTCTATTAAATCTCTTCTGAACCCTCTCCAGTTTAATAATTTCCTTCCTATAACAGGGTGACCAGGCCTGCACACAATACTCCAGAACAGGCCTCACCAATGTCCTGTATACCCTCAACATGATATCCCAACGCCCATACTTAAAGGTAATGAATAATGAAGGCAAGTGTGCTAAACACCTTAACCACCCTGTCTACATGTGACACCAACTTCAAAGAATTATGTACCTGAACCCCAGGTCTCTCTGTTCTACAACACTGCCCAAGGCCCTACTTTTAGTTGTATAAGTCTTGTCCTTGTTTGTTTTACCAAAATGCAATACCTCACATTTATCCAAATTAAGCTCCATCTGCCACTCCTTAGCCCACTCACCCAATTGGTCAAGATCTCTTTGTAATCTTAGATAAGTTTCTTCACTGTCCATTACACCACCAATGTTGGTGTCATCTGTCGACTTACTGACCATGCTTTCTATATTCTCATCTAAACCACCGATATAAATGACAAATAAAAGTGGACCCAGCACTGATCCCCTGTGGAACATCTTTGGTCACAGGCCTCCAGTCCGAAAAACACTCCTCCACCATCATTCCCTGTCTCCTGCCCTTAAGCCAATTTTATAAACAAATGGCAAGCTCATCCTGTATCCATGTGATCTAACTTTACTATCAATCTACCATGCAGAACCTTTTCAAAAGCTTTACTAAAGTTCAATTAAACAATGTCTGCCACTCTGCTCATCAATCTTCTTGGTTAAATTCCTCAAAAAACTCAATCAAGTTTGTGAGACATGATTTCCTTCGCACAAAACCATGCTGACTATCCAAATGCATATAAATCCTATCTTTCAGAATCACCTCCAACACATTCCTGCAATAATTTCTGGGCCATTAATGTCAAAAAATATTTTCGATATTGGGTTGAATGTTGGTTGTAAAACATGAACATCCTTGTCTGCCAACTGATTCTCAGCAAAACAATGACCCAGGGATGTACTACAAGGCAATTGTGGCTCTGTCAGAAGAACATTTTACTGTTTTATAATTTATCCGCTTTGTCTCACCATACTTTGCTAAAATTAGTTTGAAAAAGGCAAGAAAACTTATAATAAGCATTAATCCTGCTTATAAAATGTACATTTAACCAAAAAGAAGCTCCCGAGCTACCTTATTCTGTCTTTACTGCCAAGAAATGATTATTATCAATATAGAACATTTTTCACGGCATCCAAGAAAAGATGAAGGCAGCAATAATCTACAGGGAAATAAAAACTATTCCAAGCTACTGAACAGCTTACAAATTATGGAATAAATGTGTATGGAGATGAAGACACATAGATCCACTTCAGAAGCCTTAGGTGCAAGGAAATGGTAATCAAAAATCTTTTGTTTCAGATTCTGCTGAAGTAGCTGTTGTCAATGAGAGTTCTCCCATTAAATAACATGCTTGATTTGAAGCAGCCCGAGTGTCTGGCAAAAAAGGAAATTGGGAATTTGCAGCAACAGACAGAATGATCAAGCACAGTGCATGGGTAGTTCTGGAGCACATGCTCTCAGTATTATTGTTGGAATGTTCTAGTGAAATATTTTATTTACAAATCTAGCTTCCATCAGAATTAAATCTATTAATACTTGATATTCCCGTACGGTTAAGTCACTTAAGTGCCAATACAAATTCGGGAATTTCCAAAAGAAATCTCTGCAGTAATGCATACAATCTACTGAACTTCATTTTCTGTGGTACTATCCAGTCTTTCTAAATTTGTCAAAATCTAACTACACCTTATCAGCAGTTAATGAATCATCTTTTTGATAAATTGTATTCATGAAAGTTAATAATCAGTCCAAAACTTCAACCATGTTTAAAAGATCAGGCTCCAATTCTGAAAAATAAAGTTATTTTTAACCTTGCTTCTGTATGATAACAGAAGTGTTAAAGCCATGCCTTGCTTCCTTTTTTTGGCAAAGAACTATCTCAGGTCTACATGCTTGCTTCATTCTTCCATTGGTCCTTAGGCTCACCTTCAGAAAATAGTAGTGTGCAATCTTAATTCAATACTTTACATTTTGACTCAACCTCCTACGCTACCAATGTTATACCAGAAAATTGTTTCAGAGATAATAGGAACTGCAGATGCTGGAGAATCTGAGATAACAAGGTGTAGAGCTAAATCCTATCTTTCAGAATCACTTCCAACACATTCCTGCAATAATTTCTGGGCCATTAATGTCAAAAACTATTTTCGATATTGGGTTGAATGTTGGTTGTAAAACATGAACATCCTTGTCTGCCAACTGATTCTCAGCCACACAATGACCCAGGGACATACTACAAGGCAATTGTGTTAGCCATCATCCCTGGATGGTGAATGAAGTTTGCTGAGGGTCATGCCAGGAGCAACATGAGGCAAACCCAATGTAATTATCTAACACGGTCTGTAGTGAAGCATGAGGCCTAATGGAACGAGGAAATCTGTGATGAATAAGGATTTGTTGGAGGTGATTTGATTGCATAAATACGGACACTTGGTAATCAGTGGGGTGTGAGTGTTATGGAATGTGGCTAATGAAAATAAAGCTTTCATTAAAGATGTGGATTTGGACTCCGTTCAAGAACAATTATTTTCTGGTATAACAAGGTGTAGAGCTGGATGAACACAGCAGGCCAAGCAGCATCAGAGGAGCAGGAAGGCTGACGTTTCAGGCCTAGACCTAGGATTAATGCTTATTATAAGTTTTCTTGCCTTTTTCAAACTAATTT